TGAGAACCCTAATCGTTCTCCTGTCTAGGCCTGGGCAACCTGACAGTATCCTGCCCACGCAATAAAATGCAACTCTCTTCAAACAAATTTTTGATGCTCTGGCCACGGCAGAGGATAATCAACGGTGCCCTATCTGCTGCATCGGACAAGGTGGATAGGGGTTTGGATGCTACTGTTCAAGCCTTCCCCTCTTGCGCTTTTTCACCCTTATCGTCCCGTTCCAGCTTCACTTTTGTCCCCCCTGTTTTCAACCCCCAATTCTCGGCCCTCCCCCACCTTGCTTCAATAGTCGCGGAGCGTCATTCCTGCCCTGTCAACAAGTCCATGTCCAAGCAAGCGGCCAAGCCCAGTTCGTCGGCTTCCGTTTGGAGCCCTCGATCTTCCTTCAGATTGGCAGGCCTCAATGTTCGCACATTGCTAAAGATCGGTCAACAGGCAGCACTTGCCCGAATATTAGAGACCCTCTCGATCGATATCTGCTGCTTATCGGAGACGCGCCTGCAAGACTCGAGCTCTGTACTCACTCTGCGATTCCCTTCAGGTGACACTAGCAACACTTTCTCCTTGCGCCTATCCGGTGAGGATGCAGCTTCGAGCACCGGCCAAGCCGGTGTTGGTATTGCCCTGAGTTCCCGGGCTGAAGCTACTCTGGTTGATTGGATTCCAATCAGTAGCCGGATGTGTGCGGTCCGATTGGCTGGCTCGTTCAAATCTTCGAAGTCGCGCGGGACCAACAGGTGTCTATTCGTCATCGCTGCCTATGCACCCACAAACAGTAGCGATGACTCGGTAAAAGACGACTTCTATAGTCAACTGAACGAGCTTCTTAGCCACAGAAGAAGCTCGGACACTGTTGTGCTGACTGGGGATCTGAACGCTCAAGTTGGAAAATTATCCACAGATGAGCTGCATCTGGGCGGCCAACATGGTGTAGGCTCCGTAATGATAATGGTGAGCGGTTACTTCATTTGTGTGAAGACGCTCGCTAATTTCTTGCGAGCACTAACTTCAGAGACAGCACCCGCCGGAAGGTGACTTGGCGCCCACCAGCCTCGAACTAGCTATGGATGCAAACCGATCACATTGCGATAAGTTACCGATAGAAAAGCTGTGTCCAGAACTCTCGCTCGATTTGAAGCATATGTGTAGACACCGATCATGCACTTGTATGTGCTGACCTGTGGATGCGCTTTGGCGGACACCCACGACGACGTTGTGAGCTCATTGACACCAGCCAACTGGCGAATCCAGCTGTTCTGAATGCCTATCGAAGTACGCTGTGATGCGAGTTGGATAAACGCTCAATGGATGCAACTGAAGCTCACTGGTCGCATATTCACCAGACCTTACTTGCAGGAGGAAAATCCTCATGTGGTATGTCTAATCACCAACATGGACATCAGGTCTCTTCACAGTATCTGGAGCTTATAGATGCTCGCCAGCATATTCCGGCTGGAAGCGAACACAATGAAACTCGCAAAGAGTTCCGGGCAAAACTCCGTGTTAGCCTGAAGAGAGACCGCGAATCCTGGTGGTCTCATCGTGCATCAGAGATGGAAATGGCCGTTGCCCTTGGTAACCATCGAAAGTTATTCCGTCTGATACGGGAAACGGGCAACAGAAGACCTGGTGTTAGTGAAACTATACGTGACGAGAGTGGACAGCCTATCCACAACTTACCAAAACGCTTGGAGCGTTGGGCTGAGCACTTTAAAAGGCAATTTAATCGGCCGGAATTGTTCGATTTCTCGCCGGCCACTGATCGCCCCGCTCCCTGGGCTGTCCCTTTGGATCCACCCTCTCGCTCAGAAGTCGAACGTGAGATCGGACTGCTGAAGTTGAACAAAGCCGCGGTACCGGATGATCTTCCTCCAGCCCTCTTCAAATTCGGGGGACTTGCTCTTGTGGATGATTTACACGAGTTACTAGTGAAACTGTGGGAGCAGGAAACTGTCCCAACCGACTGGACCTGCTCCGTCATAGTCCCAATTTTCAAGGGAGGCTCACGATCGGAATGCAGCAACCATAGAGGAATCAGTCTGATCTCCATCGCCTCCAAATTGCTTGCCTCTGTCATCCTTCACAGACTGACTGGCACTTGTGAAAGCCAGATTCGTGAAGAGCAAGCCGGGTTCCGTCGAGGTCGTGGCTGCATTGATCACATCTTCACTTTGCGTCAGTTGTTGGAGCACCATCACATATATTGGCGGTCCACTGTTGTCGTGTTCCTCGATATCAAAGGTGCATTCGATTCGGTGGATAGACATGCACTTTGGGACTGTCTACTCAGGAAAGGTGTACCTGAGAAATATGTGAATATTATCCCAGCATTATATGCGCGTAGCTCGCGCAGAGGGAGGGCTTACGGAAAGTTGTCGTCGCCGTTTAATATCTCCAGCGGCGTGAGACAAGGATGCCCGCTGTCACCTATCCTCTTCAACTACGCTGTTGACGAAGTCATGGAAATCGCGTTCACAGGATATAACTTTAAAGGTGTGGATCTGCTCCCAGGAGAACGACTTCTTGACTTAGAGTATGCTGATGATATTGCCCTAATCTGTGACAGCTCCAGACGTGTCAAACCGCGCTGGACAGATTAGCACTAGCTGTCCGTCACTTCGGGCTTTGCTTCGCACCGTCGAAGTGCAAAGCGTTCCTCCAAGATTGGTCTGGACCGCCTCCTACGCTGACCGTTGGTGGGGATCAGCTAGAAGTCGTTCAAAAATTCAACTACCTGGGAAGTTGCATCCGCGCCCGTGGATTGAGGATGAGTTCACGAACCGTATAGCAAAAGCTCGGGGCGCTTTTGCTAACCTTCGCCACTTGTGGCGCCGGCGCGACATCACTCTTGCCTTGAAGGGTAGAGTGTACAATGCAGCGGTACGTTCGACCCTACTGTACGGTTGTGAAACCTGGCCGCTTAAAGCAGCGGACCTGAAGAGGCTAGTTACGTTCGACCACCGGTGCCTTCGTACTTTAGCTCACATCTGGTGGGAACACCGCGTGAGCAACGAGCGTGTTCGACGCCTTGTTTACGGCACAGGAAAAGGAACTGAACCGCTCAGCAACGTCATTTCACGCACCAGACTCCGATGGCTCGGCCACGTGTTACGCATGCCAGTCCACCGACTCCGGCGACGTGCGTTGTTTGCGCGCCGGGGTGTGGATGGAAGAAGAGGAGGGGTGGCCAAGCGATGACTTGGTCGAGAGGAATGAAGGCCCTCACTTCCGAGCTGGCCTCGGTTGGAGCGTCTCGCCTCCCTGGTTGGGGTCCGAAAGATGATGAACACGTTCGGTTGGACACACTTGCTGATTTGGCTAGGAGCCGACCTCAGTGGCGTTCGTGCTGTGAGTTTCTTTGTCCCACCCCATCCCTCTTAGCCTCCCCCTCCAACCACGATCTCATTATTTAGCCTTATGTAATTTTGCATAGTAATTTTTTTTGATGCACAGTAGCCGGCAGGTAGCTTACCGGAACGATGCCCATCCGTTACCGGTAGCTCAGCCAGCTTGCACCAGTTGCTTTTTTTCTCCTTTTTCTGTGTATTGCGGCACAGTGAGGTGTTTCCCACCTCTAGCTAACGTGTATGATGATGATGATGTTGTATGTGCATCTTCATATATTTACAACCTCGTAAATTATTAGAAAATGCTTTAGCATATGGACGATTCCCAGCGATTCATGGAGAACACCAGCCTGAGGCAAACAATTATTTGCAATGATTCATTTACGGGCCAGTACAAATTATGTAAGGTTAAAATACAAAGACATGAACAGTGATTGGTTCAGACGTAGTCCAACTGTTAGACAGCAGATAGCTCGTCGCTGTCTTATGCATACAGATCGATAGGAGCTACCTAATGACACGAAACCGGTGTCAAAATGACGGTTGGTTTGACTGCTGTTCGGCCAGGGTAGACAGAGCGACTGAACAAACTTCTTTTGCGAGCATAGTGGGGTTGGAAAATTCGGATCGCAATAGATTCTGCTATGGTGAGGATTCATTGACGTAGATATTTCCATTTGTTCAAGGTCAACCAGCAAACCACAGAAAACGCATTTGGAAGGTCAACGCTGTGACTTGATTTGATTAAGTGGGACAAAATTACACTTGCCATAACTCCAGTGCCTCCGTTCTCTAAGACCATGTTCCTTAATGCGATGTGACAAACGACGATCTGTTCGACCAATAAATGTTGCACACAGGTGTATACAAATCGACAGATCAAGTAAGAGGTCAGCTTCAACAGTCAGTCGCACACAGAAATAAGTGGATCGGTGGCGAAGATACAGCGCAGTTCAATAGCTGGAAAAATGTTCCTTATCAACTGTGATAGCTCAGCAATTGTATCATCTTTAAAACGAAGGTGAATGAAGACAACTTTATTTCCAAGTACCTGCTTAACGCCCGATGTTATTTTGCGCTGGATGAATATATCCGGATAGAGATATTCACATAGTGTTCTGTATGGATTCCATCTCACCCACCAGAGAATCTTCCGAACAGGTCTTACAATGTGAGGCAGCGCTTGTAGTTCAGCGGTACGAAACTACTGAAGTTCGTATATTGACCAGTACGCCTACTCAGATGCACATTCAGAAATGAGAGGTGGCACACTTGTTCAAGTTCATAGGTGAACTTGATTATCAGGTGCGCATTATTAAACTCTACCACTATATCTTCTACACTCAAATTTTTATTGATCACGCATATGTTGTCCATATAAATGGACGAAATAATTCAATTTCCAGCGTGGCAAAAATATATCCGACAGCATTGGTCCGAGTGGCGACACCATTACGATTCCGGCATTCTGCAGGCAAGAGATGTCATTGAAAAGGAATGTGACCTAGTACGTGCATCGGCAACAATTCTTTCAGGCATGCTAAGAGTATACTTAGATGAACATTGTTTTAGTGTACGTAGTTATATATGTATTCCAGCAGCGGCACATTCGTGAATGGTAAGTTACATCCAATGAGAATATCGAGGCTCGGATCATGGAGAAGTAGTGAAGGGAGACCAAATTAAAAATACCTCAAATGGATGAAGAAATCTAACCGAGCGGTATGCAAACCGGTGTAAAGCTGCGCGAGCTAACAAAGCAATGTTAAAGATGTCCCTCACAGTCTGTGGGCATAGTGACCAAAGTGTTCGAAGGAACAACCATGGGTCCATCAGCCGAAAGCCTAGATCGAAATACAGGATAACGGAAATATGGGGGTCAGATGTGAGATACCTGGCCGAAGGTCGGCAATGCAAACAACACCTAGTAAGAAGGTAGCTCGATTCGATCAATCAGCGTTTGAGAAACAAAATTGTCTCGAAGGAAGCTGGGTGCCAAAAGTGATACCCTAACTTTCCTGTGCCAACAAAACCACAACATGTGATGCCATTAATCAAATATAATTATAACTATATATATCACAGAACGTAAAGTAGAAAAGTGAAACATACACATGATGCAAGCTGATATTGATGTTACTACTATGAGGTTACTTCACTGGGTGTGAAGTAATTCCGAGCACATATCTATGGGGGAATCCAAGCGACCAGCGAACTAAAGAGATGTCTCTGACAGTGTAGGTGAGAGCACACGCAAGATTATGACAAGATTCTGCAGTAAGTCCAGTGCAAAGGTCCAGAACCCGGGGACAACGAACAGACTAAAAGAGTGGTCTCAGAATTATAATTTATTCGCCCTTAAGGGATCATGTTCATAAGTCTGTAAAGAAGGTGCCATATATTTACATCCGTTACAGAACGTGGACGTCTAGTTTCATTTGGAATCTCCAAGTTCCTTGGTCAATGCAGCGAGTTTCTCTAAAACCGGAGTAAGTAGAGTGACACTAACTTACGCTCACATTTGACCATTTCCGTATCGCGAGTAGTTCGAAAGAAAATATTACCACCAAAGCACTGGTAAACGACCTGGAAGAAAAGAGTGAGGCAAATGTAGAGACGCACTTGATGTGGAGTGGACTGCCGTAACTCGCTGAGAAGTACTTGCTGATCGTGGATCTATGTGTCAGATGCATGACGCAGTCCGAATCGAATGGCCTACCTGTCTCTGGAGATTTTGTTCTCTATCGGAGGTCATTTGCAAAATCGAGCAACTCATAAAACAGACAGTGAAGTCTATTTGTTGCGAGTAAAATGCAAAAACACCTACAAAGGAAGAAAAAGCAAATGGAGAGTAGTCGCTAAGAAACACTAGATACAGTAATCGAGGGCAGTTTGCGGTAGAGGGGATTAGAACAGTGGCCATGCATGTCGGTTGTTCGGCACGATTGACCCGGTGAAGGGAGTGAAGTGGCTTTGTACTTCCGCAGTCACCTCCAATGAAAGCGAATGGAGGATTCTGTCAAAGCCGGTGCAGGATCCACTTTGGTGTCGTCTACGGTTGGGAGACGACGACTATTGCTTAGTGGCTGTCGTTTATCGCCCAGCATCCTCCACGCATGAGATGGACCTCAATCTGGCATCCGCACAGAGGTGATAAGCAAGTACAGCCACATTCTCTGCAGTGGCAACTTCACTGTCCACAATCTCGAATCACAAGCCGTACTTAGAGAACGGTTCAAAGCAGATATTCAAGAGCCTGTCTTCAGTATTCCGCTTTAAGGTCACATCAACACTACTACCGGAGCGGATATTCCTAACGAAGAGAGTGATCGCCAAATCTCTTCTGGGCTGAATTGATCACGCAGTGTTGCTTTTTGAATTCATCTGATGTGCTGAATATCCGTTGGTAATTACCGAGGCAACGAGAACTATTATACGCTAGGACACATTTGCTCCAGGTGGAGACAGTCAAATAGACCCATTTGGTAGACGAAGCGAGGTCTAGCGCATGGCAACATTTCGCCAGCCAATTTAACACAGGTTCCAGAAACATCGGAAACAATGGTTGTCTAAAGAGAAACGTGGTCTCGTTTGTACAAAGCCTGGAACAGTGCGAAATTTGACCTGGCATGTCTAGAAAATATCTCCGAGCACCGAGATCTGGACGGCCTATGAGACCCAACGCAACCACTGTACTCAAATAGTCCACGAGGACAAAATGGCATACAAGCAAAAGTTGGCAATGCGTATGGTCTCAAAAAAACAGCCTGTAGTATCAACATGTAAACAGTCTATGTAAGGTGAAACGGAGAATCCCCCCCCCTTCAGACAGCGGATGGACTGACAATGACCACAGCGGCGGCGACTGCAATGTGCTCCAAAATTACGTCCAGTGGCCGCCTAGTTTTGTGACAAGCGTTGCCTCACCCCAGAAACTCACTCGTATATTCTTTATGGCAGAAAATGTGCTGAAAACGTTGTTGCTCATGCCTTAGGCACTACAATCCTGGAGTTGATAACATTTACTCGAAGTCACTCATGATGGTTGGAGAGCTTAGTTAAGACTCTGGCTAGATTCTTCCGGCCTTCTTCTGACGAAATGTACGTACCTGACATGTGCAAACACGGGATGATAACTCAAATTCACAAGGGAGTTGGTCGTTTCGATTCAGCCAATTGCCGTCCTATAACCCTACTACCGGTGCTTCCAAAGGTCATGGAGGCCATTATTACCAATGCGCTAACGGCTTGCTTGGAAGAATTGACCCATGTTGCACAACAACAGCATGGCTTCCGAGGAAGTCGAACATGCACTAGTATTCTACTGCTAGCACGATCCAGCGAGATGGAAGTAATCGTGCAGGAGTTAAGGCAGTTTTTCTCGACTTCTCAAATGCATTCGATCAGTTAGACCACGGCATCATTCCTTTCAAAGTCCAAAGCTTCCTCACCCAGAATGGTTCGAAACTTTCTCCCCCACGAGCACATGTGGACAAGCGTGTGTGGACTCGTGCCCTATTCCATTAAAATAGAAGACGTAGAACCGCAGGGGCCACGCTTTTTCCTGGTCAATACCATCGACATTACACACCTCATAAGCTACAACTCCCTACTCTATGCCGGTGACATCAGGGTATGGAGACCGAGGAACACATTAGATGATCCTACACTACTTAAATCGGTCTGGATACGGTTTATGGATAGAAAAAAGTAGAGTACTACACTTACAGTACCGGTTAACATAGTGCTATAAAATGGACAACCAAGAGCTTCAAAGGTCTTCTAACGAAAAAGATCTCAGCGTTTCGATTCCGTCTGACCTTGGCTGTCGGATTCGTACAGTATGCATTCGGACGCTTCGTCGGCGCATGCGCATGTCGACAAGCGGGATATGCAATAAGGGTATAACAACTCTGGTTGAGGATAGATCTCATCGGCTTACGGATATCTCGACACCAAGAAACCAAGCAAACAAAAAGATTGCACCACTTAGCCTATGAAGAAAGGCTGAAAGTGATTGGGGTCCACAAGGGACGAGACCGGCGAACGCGTGGGGAGCTTATTATGTCTTACCAGATTTTTAGGGACCCCACCCATGCGTGCCACCATCTACTGGAGCTCAGTCATAACAGCAAGATGATAAGCCATGATCACAAGTTGGCAGAACAGTAGTCATTTAGAACGCTCACGGAATTTCTTTTCAGTAGTTGTTTGCTAAGTGTGGAATGCCCTTCCGGTATCTGTCATCTGTAATTCCACGTTAGTAGAGTACAAATGCCGAGATGACCATGTGTTCATTTCGCTGCACTATCTCACATAACTCATTGTTTACTGCCAAACATGAGTGTCTGCTAGAGCTTTCACTGCCGGTCAACTCCAAGAACATTCTCCACATTTTTCACCTTTTGCACGTATTCACCAGCAAGTGATACGACGCATACAAAGGTTCCCTTTGTCATTTCCTACGGACTTACAGTTTAATACGTTTATCCCAATGAGTCGACGGGGACCAGTTAAACTTTAGCTTCTTTATAAATATAGAATCATTGTTTCATCAGTTGACTACTGAAAAGCCTCAGTCAAACTGACGGTGTAGAAACAGACAACACGCACCGAGATTGGTTCAGAATCAACAGACTGCGGCACCAGAAATTGGGTTGCAGGACTCCAACAACCAAGGCATATCGGCGATGTCTCCTCCGCATTGGCCGTCAGGGACAATAGGCCGGTATGTCTGAAAGGTGCTTTGTTCGAAATTTTCTACACATATTAGCACCACCAGTGAAAATCGATGGTGCACTGATATCAAGTCGTGAGCTGAAGGATAAGAAGAGAAGCAGGGCTGAGGAGCATGTGTAGTGTGGGCTTCAATAGACCGATAAACAAAGGACATAGTAAAATGGGGACTGCATTGAGAAGATTCGCATGTCCTCTGGGCAAGAAAAACATGCAAAATCGCGAAACGCCCCATATTTCGCTTTCTAAGACTAACCTATTCAAAACATCGTTGTCCAAAGGTGCAATATCGAGTGACCTGAAATGCTCGGTGATGAAGTCGATTCCGAAAGGCGGTGACCCAAGCCAGGTGGACAATTTGTCTGGCCTCTGTTATGGCCGAGATACTCGAGATCAAGAAGAAGAGTTTGCTGTAGTCACTGGAATCGAACGACTTGATGCCGGCTCATGCATCATAAACTTGTTGGTGACGCAGAACGAATGGTTGATGTTATCTACAGGCCCATTGACAATATGGAGCCGAAAGCACTTCATGGCACCGGAGTACGCAAATACCAACGCACCGCGCGCGCGCAGTCCCTCTACTCCAACGGACACATGAACTTTGTTCTTCAGACCACCGAAATGACCGTTGGACAACTGCGTGTGAACAAACAGGCGCACATTAAGCCAACCGACCGCTAAGTGGATGAATGGATGTGGATAGTGCGACAACGATGATCGATGGCGACCCACCAGTATTTGGTTGGTCAGGCCAAATCAGGTTACTGCGGAGAATGTTTGCTGTTTCGGAACAGTGTCTGAGCGATACATCAAGGTGAAGCACGTCCTCCGGTGACTTCGGATCAACCGGAGTTACAATGCGTGGCTGTCGATCCGCTGAGCAATAGTTGGAGGCCGATGGGTTATGCAGTACCACTTGGTAGCAACATGATATCGTACCTGCACACTATGCCCAAACGGTTCGTGATTATTTGAATTCGACCTTGTCTTATAAACTCTTCGTTTTAAATGGTCCCATAGGAAGAAATCCAAGGGGTTCAAATCCGGTGACCAATCAGGCCCCTCAGTTGGTCCGCCCCGACCGATCCATCGGTGGTCCAAAAATTCCGCTCAAATAATCACGAACCGTTTGGGCATAATGTGCAGGTGCGCCAACATGTTGCCACCAAGTGGTACTGCATGACCCATCGGCCTCCAATTGCGGAAGTACGCAGCTCTGCAACATTTGCTTGTAGTATGATGCTATGAGAAGCGTGGAATTAGTAATGCACAAAGAACAACGTACCGGTCACATTGCTGGAAAAGAAAAATGGGCCCACGATTTTTCGACCAGTTATTCCAACCCAAACCATGACCTTTGGGCTATGTTGCGTACGTGAAGCTCAGCAACCTCGTGGATTAGATACTGCCCAATAATATTGCTTCTCGATTCCGTTCAAATGGAACACAGATTCATCGGTAAAAGTAATGGAATGGATATCCATGTGATCCAAGAACCAGCAGCTAAATGCATGCCGTTTCTCCAGATCGCAGGGGCTCAGAACTTATACTTGAAGTTCACCATACCGACGATATTTGCTTTCCTTTAAAATCCGCTGAACAGCGTAACTGGTGGTGTCACAATGCTGCGCGATTGTACTGATGCTGAGCTCGGGATTTTCGGTTACTTCGCGGATAACATCGCAAGCCGAAAACTCATCCGTAGTGGTGCGAGGCCGACCAGTTTTCCTGGCGTTGCAAACACTACCAGTTTTTTCAAACTTTTGCACCAGTTCCAGAACGTAATAGCCACTTATGAGTCGCATACTTGCGTTCATGTTGTTGTATTGTCGGGCCCTTTGTGCAGCGTTAAAAGCGCGCTGATCATACAACCGAAGCCTCAGCACGCGCTGATCAATAGCCACGCATTCTAACTCCGGTTGATCCGAAGTCACCGGGGGGACGTGCTTCACCTTGATGTATCGCTCAGACACTGTTCCGAAACAGCAAACATTCTCCGCAGTAACCTGATTTGGCCTGACCAACCAAATACTGGTGGGTCGCCATTGATCATCGTTGTCGCACAACTCACATCCATTCATCCACTTAGCGGTCGGTTGGCTTAATGTGCGCCTGTTTGTCCACACGCAGTTGTCCAGCGGTCATTTCGGTGGTCTGAAGAACAAAGTTCATGTGTCCATTGGGGTAGAGGGACTGCGCGCGCGCGGTGCGTTGGTATTTGCGTACTCCGGTGCTATGAAGTGCTTTCAGCCCTATATTGTCAATGGACCTGTAATCTGATTGCAGTCAAGTATTCGACCATGTGACCTATGAGGGCCTCCTACACGAGCTGAGGATGTGTGCTGTTGGTGACTCACTGCACGAGTGAATGAGAATTCCTTATTGGGCGGAAGTGGAGGGTATAGGTAGATGATCATCTAAGTGACGGGCATCTCTCCACCGGTAGGGTACCCCAAGGCATAGTAGAAAGATATATTTTGTTGCTGGTAACATCAATGTGGTACATCGGTCGCTTTGTGTCCTTTTGTGGATGATGTTGGAAGTTAAAGAGTGCCTCCTACTCCATGTGACGCGATTTGCCTCAGAATGACCTCGACCTTCTGACAACTGGGCGAGAAAGCTGATTGCCAACGCGTGCGTGTTTGCCACAAATCGTGCTTGGGAAAGACCCTGCGAGCGTGTTGCCAGGGCCCAGCCGAAAGCTGATGAAATCGCGCATCAGACAGCAGGCGTGTTGCCAAGGCCTGACCGGAAGCTGATGAAATCGCGCGGCAGACATCACGTGCGTTGCCATGCACCGGGTAGGCGAACGAAGACTAGCATGCCCGAGCAAGACGGTGAACTGGACAGACGGTGCGGACAATCAAGTGTGGAGCGTGGGCTAACAGCCAAATCCGCCAGGTGATGTTTAGAGGATTGGTGAGATCGACATATAAATATGAGCGTTCTCGATCCTAATACAACTCTGGTCTGCTGAGTCTTCTTCTGTCTTCCTTCCTGTCGGGTTTGCCAAGGCATCAAACAGAGCAGGCGTAAGGGCGCAGATTTACCAGCAGGCTTGAATCAACCGGTCGATTGCGGGCACAGCGTTATAACACCTTCTCTTCATTACGTGTGTAGAAGTCGACATGCCAGTCAAACCGTTATCTGAGTCTGGGGTGATGGGCGTATGTACATTGTCGCTAGCAAGCCGTTGCATCCCACACCCCAGGTGAAGAATATAGGTGTACTCTAACGATGCGAGATTAAGTCTACTGACAATACGAACAAGCTATATGGAAACTGACTGCACATGTTTTGGATGCGCAAACGCAGTTTTTGAACTTCGTTTCCAATCTCTTTTGTAACAAGACCGATGCACGAGAATGGCTAACCTGTCCATTGTCCGATAACCCAAGGCAAGGTGCAAAAAATAGAACACGTCCCGTAGTTAGCAACCAGACGCATCCCAAGTTTACGGGGTATGTCGCATAAAGACCGACGAAGGAGACAAAGGATACATACACCCTCGTATCATCGGTTTTGAGTGGACCGCATAATGACTCACCGGATAGTATGCCTGGGTGAATTCCCCATGATAAGGCCGCTCCTGCACGTGAGCGCAACAAGCAGTAATTGTGGGTACCGGTACAAGCTTGTAGCACCGGATCTGAAGCGGATACCTTAACATCCAGGCCTCGAGTGTTGAACTAGTGGAACAGCTTGCTAGGGACAATTTTCGGGGGAAAATCTATGTCGGAATTCAATAAATTCCTAGACGCCCACTTTGCGGATTACAGATTTCGAGAGCGCAGAGCTCCGGAATAGTACGTTACTTAAGTGTACTATGCTGACAGTGTGCAGTAACGAACGACGTTACTCTGCGCATGTGCTCATTACTATACCGATGGAGCAACACAGATGGATAGATTACAACTCTATCATCAGTACACAATATTCTCGCAGACTCAAAGTTGACTAAGGCTATGTTGATTGTTTTTCAGAACCGGGCGATTGGAATAAATTACTTAGTTTTATGTGCGACGGAGAGCAGCTAGAAGGTTAGGCCGCTAGCATCTCCCCCGATGATGGCATCTCAAGAGAGAAAAGGTGAGCGGAAGGTCGTTAAGGCAATGGTCGACGGTGTGGGCATAGATTTTCACTCTTGCTCAGCTAGATGCTGTTTAGGATATCCCACTCGGAGCCAAAAACCATAAACCTATTCGTCCCAAGGAAACGGAGTGACTAAGGCAATTATGAACAAGAGGAAACCGGCAATCAAAAAGCATGGATAACTAGATTTTCGAGTAGTTGCGGACTACTGAGGATACGCAAAAAGCTTGTGTGTAGCAACACGGAGACAAGGTAAGGTCTCATGTACCATCAACTGGCTAATATACAGGAAAACCGTTGAGGACCTGGTGGTTAATGCGTCTTCTTGGTGTTCGATATATAGTTCATAAAAATTCGTTGATCATTTAGCTTGTTTGTCCACAATGTGTTATGTGCACGCTTCTAAATACAAAAGTTGGTGGTCAGTGACCGTATAGCCGGTTACATAGACTTTGACGCAGCGCCGTATCAACCCTTGCGGTATGTGATGGAGAACCCAACCCCAAAACTCCCATATTCTGATGCTGCCCCTGTCCACGATTGCTTATTCATCTCGCTTGAGGAGCAACCGAGGACGTCTTTCCATGATACGCAATCTGGAGGCGCATCTGAGAGCGTACGGTGCTGCCAATAGGGGAGACAGAATTTATTACAGCAAGAAGCAGTTCGGCCGTCAACACTACAATTCAATTACTTGAAGTTCAATTACTTGAACCGACACGTTGTTAACAACAGACAGTGCTAAACGGTTGGCTTTCTAGTGAAAATAAGGTGACATGTATGAGTAAGTTTCCAGGTGACCTTCACCGCTAATCCAGAACCGATGTTATCCCACAAATGACGAAACATCAGACACGTATTCAGAAGACAACGAAAGCGTCACAAGTGCCGACTGCGTTGCAGTGGTCCGAACCGAGCACAAAGTAGATGGGGTGAACTCTAAACCAGACAGAGAGACGGACCAACAACGTTCAGATAATTTGCCTGTGACTCCATTCACCGCCACCCTCTCGAGCTTTGCACCACAGTACATTCCGTAAGCAGAACAATGCCGTCTGCCATAAGCGGTGACTGGATATATCTAGCATGCGTCCAAGTCAACATGACTTAATCAATAAATCTGAATAGTTGTATGCCAGGTAGTGAGGCACTGACGAGGTCACCACGAATGGTGAGAGAAGGTCTGCAGCACAATTACTCAGCTCGAAGAACCATGGCTTGTTCAAGTTTATCTGTTGCACCCATGAACTAACCTGATGAACGACACCTGGTACTCATGAGCTCAAATGATCGTTGCGGACACGCTCATGCCATCCGATAACAGCAGTACCCAGCATGCAACAATGATTTAAAACTAGAAGGAGTATAATAACTTCAGACCGGAAGGATCGAGCGTCATTCCTATAGAAGAGAACGACTCTAATTATAGTCTCGTATACCCGGCCTTCGGGATTGGGGGAAATTTCAAATAGTGTGAACAGATGCCCCATATTCAAGACGATAGTTCTAAATCTCTTGGTAAGTCAAGCGGCGACCGCTGCCAAGAAAGGTGGGTTGAAAAAGCATCTCGTTCCTCGATTTCATGAAGCACTTGGCCAGTGGTTCTTTAGTAAAACTGTCTTTTGAAGGCGTTCAGTAGATGCAAAAGAATGAGGTCAATTCAGAATCCATCCAGGGTTGAGCAAGACGCCTCCCGATCGTCTGACCTAGAATAAGAGGAAATGTTTCCCCTGGATCCAAGTGGACTTCTAAAAGAACAGTCATACGCCTCCGCATCGGTTCGTACTGGTAGTGTTAAGTGCTTTACTGTAAAGGAGTCGTCAGAATGGTCTCCAATATCACAAAAGATCACAAGGTAATCGACACGTTTATTTAGCTAGATAAGCATGTTATCCCTAATGCACATGCCGCCGAAGACGTTATCATGTGTACTGCAAAAAGTCATGTGGCTTTTCGAGGCGCCAGTTTCCCAAAGATATGGTGAGTAAAAAGCAAAGTGGTCGATGACAGAGTACAACAGGTCGCAGTGTGAACGGTGTTATTCAAACAAACGAAGAAATGATCACTGCTTCCTGAAACTTTTAACGGGCTCATCAATCTCGATCAAAATGAGCCGCCTAGTGAGGACAAGGCGCAGACTAAAATTACCGCATGCATAGACAAAGGTGCCCGCATCTCGTTGTTAGTTCGTCACGGGTAAAGAAAAGGAAGCGCTCACGAGCATCAATGGATGAATGATAAGCACCAAGAACAAGCATTTAGAAGGAAGAAATGTTTTGTTAATATGTAGTAAATGCAACCTGCTTAAAACACACTAAAAATAAAGAACGCCGAAATGGATCACGGAAAAAACGTGTATGGAGCCCACGGGGAACGAGGATAGAGGGGAATAAGATCAACAGAATATGTAATATAACATTATGCAGAGAGGTGGAAACGCCTCAGTGCATCGAAGCTGATCACAGACTTCGGACAAATAGTGAAAGTTGTCAAACACAGCGCTGGTACTTAAGAAGAAAGTCTGCAAAACTGCACATAAGTGTCATAAATCATAGGTCAAACAATAGAAAGCATAGGTTACTGGTTCGCCTCATCGACTTCTACACCGGTTTCGACCAAGTGCTCAAGTGCAGCGGCATCAGGTACAGCGGGAACAGCAGGGAAGTTAATTGAGGCGGATATTCGTGTGAAAGGAGGCGACTGTGATGACACAGTCGAGACATCCGCGCTGCGAGTGAACAAAGCCCTCTGAGTCAAAGTGACAGCCTTTTGACGCACTTCCACTGCCGCAGCAGACATGGAGGAAGCCAACGTTTGTAGCCGAGGAGACGTAGTCCTTTCGATGGATTCTGAAGTCCGCAAGACTGGCGACACGACACTACGAAATGAGAGCATGTCCGTCATCAGATTTTGCGCATATGTCAGGTTGAATGACAAACACGGTTAAAAGTGCAGAACAGTGAGAAGAGAGGTGAAACGAATGAGAGGAGGGAATAAAAGCAGTGGCGGGTGAAAAGGAGACAAGAACGACGTCAGACTACAAATGAGTAAGACTTCAAAAGAAATCCAGAAGAGAGAGTTAGAATCGAAAAACGTTCCTTCGATTTTCTGACCAAGTGGAACAGTGAACTCCGGGAGACGAACTACACAATGTGTCACTCCTGCCGGAGTAATCATCGAACGTTCAAACGTACATGGAAAGCCGAATTAAGCCATATCGTATTAGTTGTGCGGTCACCGGAAGAGGTATAACAGGAGTTTTTCAAAAGTGAACAGACTGTTGGTCTATAGGAAAAGGCCACTAAGACAGTGAACTGCCCATGGTGTCCAAGAATTCCAGCGTGCGAACGGCGACGTGAAACACACGTGGTTGCCAATCCTTGAAATGGTGCAAAAGTGAAAAAGCACTAAGAGCAAAAAGACCAAGAAACCGGTTGGTGACCGAAAGGATTACGCATTTGCCTTGTAATCCGGAGGTCACCGTCTCGAATCCGCGCGCAGGTGCAAACAACCTCCCAGCATACTCAGCCCATGTGTGATCGGTGGTGGTTAAGAAACGTCGGTACGGTATCCCGGCATACTGCTGATGCCTACTTTACTTTGCCAAGAAACCCCAAAGCCTGTTAACGGAACAAGGACGTTCGATCACGCCAACCAACTTTACAGAAATGCATCCAATATACGGCAAGTTTAAGAGGGGGGGGACAAGCGATTTAAAATACCGGCCTCATAGAGTAAGCTATTGCAAACAGCCCGTGGTCAACTTAACAAACTTTACATAACAGTGATCGCTATACTTCAAGGGCGTGACAGCGCAGTTTGCATAATGGAAATTAAGAAAACGGGTAAACAACTCCGAAGTTGTGATCTTCGGTAATGGTTGTAGGTCAAATCAAGTCAATAAAAGCTTTATGTGCACCAGTGAGTGAATATACAGCGTTTAGCAATATCTACTGCGGATGTTCTAGAACAACAACATAAAATGTAAAATTGTACAACGGGAAAATGGAGCCAGGAGTACAAGTGTTACTAGAATAAACGGTCCCGAATCTGCATCCCGTTGACAGTACAGTATCGAAGCCCAGTTTATCGATCCAGGCGAAGTGTCTGTTACAAAACGCTCTCCGACAATTTTGCGCAGTACGCGCAGTATTTCAATGTGCGTTTTCCAAAAAGCGGAGGAGGACAGCATTAATGACCTTATAAGTAGTCTAATCGGAGAAAAGGTCAGAAATACTTGATGAAAACTAATGTAGCATCAGAACAATCAGCGAACAAGCTCATTTTCGGTGGATCTCGTCAGGCTGGTACACCACAATTAACACGAATAAAATGAGTAAAAACATGTTTCAACTCATTTTATTTGTATTAGTTGTGGTGTACCAGCCTGACGAGATCCACCGAAAACGAGCTTGTTCGCTGACTCTTGTTCTGATGTCTACACCTGGGATATTTACTCACTCGAAATCTGTAGCAGATGAAGAGCGATGTACCAGTGTAAAGGCATTAGCCGACCTAAAGGCCTAGCCAGTGAGTACTGGGAAACCTAATGCGGATGGCGGAATCCTAAATATGCTGCTGGCAAAGTTGTTGCATTCAGCATACAGTTGTAGTAACTAGACAAAAATGCCAATACGGCAGGCGTCAAATCCCTACACAACTTTACGGTGGTATGACAATTCCGACAGGCGCCACACTTATGAGTACATAGAATCAGAAACGAGCAGAATATAAGCGTATCTGTGAGAAACGAGAGCTTTACCGTAAGCTAGTCGGTAAAAGCGACGACGATGGTGATGGTGAGAAGGAGGAGAACATACAGAAGCGACTAAAGCACGCGTTCGTGCAGGAAGCAGCTTTTAACTATGGTTGAGATTAGAATTCGAATCAAATGGAATGGCAAGAACTCAAACATCATGGAGGTGAGGATATCGAGCGCGGTCGGCAATTGCGTCCACACAGTGTAAACATTGTAATGACAATAAGAGAAATGGATAGAACGCACACAGTCAACACACTTCGATGTCAAAGATGATTGAAACAGAAATGCCTGTGCATCCACAAACGCAACAGTCAATGCTAACAAAAGCCAAACAAACCAAGCAATAAACCGTAAGCGTGGTGACACCAGTTTCCGTGATAAGTAAAATAACGTGGAAATTAAATTAGCACAGCAAGGAATTCACAGAGGAACGAAAATGAAATGCAATATCACCCGAACTGCAAGTGCGGCAAGAAACCGATTAGAGAGAGAGAGAACGGTAAGCACACTATGAATATACCTGGGAGGATGGGAGATTGGCGGGGTGCAGCGCTACATCGGCCACCAAATCGATGCCCATTTCGAAGTCGGAGCTACAAACGGGATTTTATCATTTGTTTATCCACACAGCTGAGGTGCAACAAAGCAACCCAAATGATGGTAATAATTGTGTGCTAGATGAGAATGAAGACGGAACGCACATAGGAAGAGTGCATGAACGACGACAGAAAGTAAACCCTGTCATAATGGAACAAAAAAAGGATGGTTGGTGCGTTGAAACATGGCACAGTGCAGAGGTGAGATGCAATCAAACAACAGCGACTGCGTAGTGTTAGAGCCAAGATATTTGAAGTATGTAGCAGACCAGTTGTAACAATGAGGTGTGCCAAAAGCCGAATATGCTCTGCGCATCAGGGCGGTGGACGAGGGTTCCAAGGAACACATGGAGATGCCAAAATATTCAGAAAAGCGAAAGTAAAACAAAAATAAATTTTAATAATGACACCAGTGATAGTTTTCCCGTGGAAAGGAGATCAAGTATACTAACGCTACGGACCTATCGAATGCGCCAAGAGGAGTAGGTATACAAAACACTACGATGGTTGAAACCTTCGAGCTGATTCGAAAACATAGTATGCGGCGGCGCGATCCCGTCTCTTGATCGGTTTCGTAAGCAATACCGGTGTAACGGAAAGTGTTAGACACGTCAATGATGCAGCCGAACAGATGTCGCCAAATCGGTCAGACTGTGGTTGATGAATAAATGACTGACTGGTATGGGCAATGCAACCCTGTCGTGACATTCTGTATCATGCCAAGATTGTTGCGAAACAAATGGATTTTCGACAGAAAAAATAGCTTCCTGATTTTACTGAAAAGCTAGCATAACCTTATAAATGACGATCAGTTCAGAAGTCGGAAAATCAATCACTACTGTTGAGGAAACTTGAGCGGATTACAAAGTTCACTTAAAGAGATGTAGCAATCTGGCCGAAGAGAACGCCAAAAACATATCATTCAGGTCAGTTTAGCCTAACTTAGGAACTAAGACATGAGCACCTCCTGTGAGAAATCTTTCACTCAATATTTATGTCGACTATTACAACAATTGCTAGAGCAAGAAAACCAAAGTGAAGAAGCTCAATTCGAAAGAGCTTGGGAAGAGGCCGAAGTAAGCAGCATGATTAATGACCAGAGGCAAGAGACCTCATACAGGATCACAAAAGACTTCTCAAAGGCGCCTCCTCAGATGTGATCAACAACAACACGAGATACTGACCAAGTGCTTGCAGTAGTCGAACAACCTTGCAATTGTCTTTTCATGTCTCTATGTCATGTCATAAGCTCAGCATTTTTGTACTACGTCCAATCGCGGCAAGCGCCATACGACAAGACAGCTAAGTGGTGTGTAAGGGAATCAGTGTGTTGACAAGCAGTGTTCACGGGCCGGCCTCATCAAACGCGAGATGGCCATGGTGGGAAGTTGGTTAAAAAGCCAGTAAGACCAACGCGCCAGTAGCCCGGAAGGAAAATGGAGGACAAGCCACGCAATCGAACAAGTGTTTCCATCGGATGAAATATAGAAGCGAAGAGAGGATATCATTGATGTAAAGAAGGTGAGAACATGCTGGAACATCACCGGCGAGTAAGATAAGTGGAAATGGATGGTCAGGGACCAGAAAGATGGTAGAAAGCTGATTTGCAAAAAGCAGTGTCGAAGACAAGGAAATACGTCAGAATATTTGACGGTCGCGCGAAAGTAAGACATCAGTGAGCACTTGCGGTGAGTAACACCGATGGACAAGGGAAATTGCTCGAAGCTCCTTACATAACAGAAAGCCGCTACTATTACTGCGCACTGCAGTTATCACCTCGATTGACGACAAAGGCCTGTAAGCAATTACCCAAACTTGTCGAACAAGTCAAACTATCAAGAGAGACCAGACATGCATGTGTGACAAGTATATGCGCAAGAGACTAAAACAATGAGATATCATGGGTAAGTATACCTGTGTTTATCGGCATAATCCAACTGCAGCTTTGTGAACAAACTGGATTTGAGCAATTCATTTAACCGGTTCATATGCAAAACAGCTTTTGTGGTAGAATTCACAGCACTAGAGGGGAGGTAGTGAGGAAAAAGAAGTTGTGAGAAGAGAAGTGATCAAATGAGAACTCACAACAACAAAGGATTGATACCGGAAGCAACAAAACATCGACTGTGAGGCAAAAAATGTGCACCAATTCAGGGATCCTTGACAAATCACAGGAAGTGTTTCGAAACAGAAAAGCCAACAGGGTGTGTAATTCAACTTCAGCAAAGAACTGCGGAAGAGAAAACGGTTAGAAAATTAAAATGTGACCAGAATTGAAGCGGTATAAATGACAAGGAATAAGAAGTATAAGCAAATGAGACCCATATAATTTATGACGGAAGTAGTGACCTTATTGTCATAATAAAATTGAAGCCTGTCAGGAGGTAGTGCACACGTCTCACCAAACAGGAAGCTTTACCCTCCATCACTGGTGGAGAGAAAAAACATACATGGATAGCGGATTGAAACACATGACAAACGTGATATTGAAATGAAGAGATGGATAGAAAAGTGGTCTGGAGACGAGACAGAAAGGTAACAGAAATGATTATGTTCGAGCAAACAGTAGCTAAACGAAGAGCACCCAATTTGCTTATAAGAGTTACATGATGGGAGAAAACACGGGAAAATGCTATCGACAGAAATGCACAGGGGAAAATGGTGGTAGACCATAAATTTTCGCGATTTGTCTGAGGACGATGTGTGAAAGGGTAATCAAAATCACTCCTACCGTCGAACACAGGCGACAGAGGTGGGACGTTGACTACAGATTGAAGCCGTTTGACTGAAACGAAAAGCATGCCCACGGCTGGATTTCTTGCGCAGCTACGACGTGCGCTTCTACTTATCGCGTGACGAACACACCGCGTGGACGTAAAATCGGCCTCATACTATAACCGAATTTACTGACACACCTATTATCACACACACGCGTCTTCACACTCATTTGATCCAGCGTCATCAGCGCCATTTGGTGCAGTCTATCTCTCAGACCTAACTTGTGTGGATCATCGGTAATTTCAACATTGCGGTTTTTGCAGTTCCCGCGGAAACGTAATCGAGGAATTTTCCCTTCCCAGACCACAAAGCAGTATTTGTGGTCTCAAACGAAAGCCAACTCAGAGATCTATACGACGATCCTTCAACCACAGCTCTCGACCGCTAAGCGAATTAGCTATCTCACATTTTGTGCCCCATTGCTTACTCGCCTTATTTAAATCTCGAGAGCTTAACGAGCAAACCAACCATCCGCTTGGCTTTAGTCTACCAGCGGTGGACGCAGCGAACGCGTTGACCTTGAAAATACAGCAACAGATAGACAACCACATCGCTAACCGAAAAGGCATCGCTAGACGCAATGGTTTTTAACGACAAATTAACACTTGACCCTTACTCCACACCAACGCTGACCGTAGTATGTGGCTTTCCTTCATGACTTAAAAATGTACGTAGTGGAATTCAGTGAGCAAATTGCCGCAGCAAGTGTCATACTAAAGGTGCAAAGTTCACAGTAAGCCAGTGGAAGATAAATACTAGTAAAGCATATATGGTTATCCCACTGGTAAAGATTGTGCATGAACCAGCGCAGAAACACGAAAGACTAGTGGCAATCATTGAACAAAAGAAGAAAACCAAAATTGATTCATTTGAGGAAAGTTTGACAGTGAGCAAGCCCCAGACCTTTCCATACGGCCCCGCTGCGAAACAGCAGAAGAATGCTAGGCAGAGCATTAAAATGCATCCCCTGAGGCTTTAGAAGTCAACGCCACCAGATGCCCAAATATGCCTAAAACAATCACGGCCAGTCCGATTGGAATAAGTACGGTCAGGGCCACATTCACCTTCCAAAATGTCTCGAAATTTCAGGACGTCCATATTGTTGGTGGTTGGAACATGAATTCTGTCAAAACCAACCGGAAATTTAGGTCTTCAGCTACCCCCACTGTGCCTAAAGTAAATGAAGGTGAAGCTGTACTTCCACAGCCTCCACCAGTTGTATTCAGACTAGCTGGGCAACTGACATCAGTCAGAGCTATACCTAATGTATAATCGGTAATCTGCACCAACGTTCCAGAGTCAAAGTCACATTCCTTAAAAGGAAAACGAGTCGATGATGTGAACCAGCGGTACTCTACGTGTGACGTCACAGGTGTTGTAGTTAAGCACGCCAAATTGACACGGATCACGGGTCACCGAGACTGCTCTGTAGTTTATTGATTTCCACTGTTGTAGCAGAACCTAAACTGTTATCGACAGCGCGCCTTCGGAATGTGTCATGTTCCATACGCATCTTCTCGGATATTCCGTGGAGCGAGCGCAAACAAGCAAAGCACGAGTTGGAAGAACACCGAAAAAATCCGTGGTTGGGACCATCCTTGTACACGGTGTTCCCGAGGCTGGAGGTCAAGATGAGCGCGAAGCGACCACCCACGACCAAGGTCAGTGGCAATACAATCGAGAGATCTTGTCCCAGGAAAATGTCACAATGCAATCGATACTGATGCTACGCATGTTGCCAAATTACAAAGAAAATGGCTCGAGGATCATGAATGTAGTGCTTCAAACCCGACAAATGTCAACCAGGGTGTTGGAGAGCTGGTATGCCGGCCGTAGCAATCCTGCTTCTGGGTTCCGGGTAAAATCAGGTCCCCCAAAAAACATACGAAAGCAGCTACTTAGTCAGACCACCTCCAGACAACAGTTTGAATAACTTCACTTGGCTAGCCAACAAAACTGGTAAACACACCTCGTACAGGACATATGACGAGAGGAGAATAGAGGTAATGACGGGATCCCTAGATCTGAAACAAATGAGCTCATCACCGTACCCAAAAGACGATTAGTTGCCGACACTTCACCAGTCGGCACAACATCATACCCAAAACGCACATCCCACGACGCACTGTTAAGAACAGAGAAACATGCATGCATGTACACCGAGTAAGTTTGCCAAACTGTGGCTATGTCAACCATCATACGCCTGGAACCTCATATTCGTAAGTGAAATTTGGCTGCATCCAGAAAATACCGACGCCGAAGTCGCGATACACGGCACGTGCCTTATTCGAAACGATCGTCCCTGTAAGGGCAGTGGGGTAATTTTAATCCGCCGTATTGACCTGCAGTGCGACACGGTGGACGATCCGGAAACGCTGTTCAGAGACTCGCTTTGGTGCAGTCTTCGACTAAGGCGCAACGACACTTGTCTTTTGGCAGTTGTTTATCGTCCTCCAATGTCCACCCCAGAGATGGACTTCCGCCTGACACTAGTATTGGGAAGAGCATTTCGACGACGATACACACATGTTCCCACCTCCGGCGAATTCAATGTTCACGATTTGGAAGTTCCGGCTTCTCCCAACGAACAATTCAAGGCAGACTTGCAAGAGCATATTACAAGCATTCCGATCTTAGGTCATGTCAGTTCGCCCACCAGATTCAGAACGGGAAATAAGCTACCTGTGCCTGATTTTGTGCTCACGAACGAAGAGCTCGTGATCGAGAAACCAAAGATAGTGAGCACTCTGGGGCGAAGTGATTACGTAACAATACATTACGACTGTTATGCGGAATATCCACAAGAACATAGTGACCTGCTTCGAACAATCACACACTACGACACATTCACAGAACTTGTCGGGGATGCCATTCGGGATTTTTCGGACAATTGCTCTATTGAGACTGCATGGACGGAGTTTGCTGGCCAGTTCAGCGATCTGATTAAAGCTGCATCTGTAAATCGACCCATTCATTGTGAAAGAGCACCAGCAATCATTAGAAGCAGAACCCGAAAACGCATGGCGTTGAGACGCAGCGTGACATGTGCACAGGGCGAACCCTGACCCTGACAACTGAAGTAACTACGTTGTGCATCGTATTCACTGTACCACACTTGTACATGAGCACAAATTAGTGTACAAGCAGAGCATAGCAGAAAAGCTTCTGTACAGATATGTGAACAGCCTCCGGAACGTGAAGTGTGGTGTTCCCCCACTTACCTCAGCAAATAGATGCGATCAAACCCGAGGATGCAGCGAACGTTCTACGGTTGCAACATGCCTCAATAGTTCGATGCGACATCAGCATATGTCACATACCTGTCTCGTTCCTCCGGACGCCAATACTCACACACGCCACTTTAAGTTCAACAACCGTATTGAGGAAGCCGATATTGCTGTGCACCCATAGTTCCCCCGGTGTTGACAACATTCCCCCAAAACCACTGCAGGTAGCAGCTACGAGGATAGCTGAGTCATTAGCACGATTCTCCAAAAAATGCCTGGATGTACAGCAGGTCCCCAACATGTGGAAGCTGGGCATCATCACCCCAATTTTCAAGGGTGGTAGCCGTTCGGAGCCCGTCAACTATCGCCCAGTGATTCTCCTCCCGGTGCTCTCAAAGGTGATGGAGTCAATCATAGCTGAGGTTTTAATGGGCCATTTTGAAAGGCCTAACGTCATAGTACAGGAACAACACGAATTCCGTCAACATCGGTCATGTACTACCAATATGCTGATTGTGCGTGGCAGCTGGACCGGAATAACCGACAATGGAACAGGCGCTGATGTTATCTACCTCGACTTTTCTAAAGCCTTCGACTGTTTAGATCACCGAATCCTTCTCCAAAAGCTATTATTGTACGGAGTTAGGAATCTGGTCCTTGGATGGATCGGAAATTTCCTGCTTCAGCGGTGGCTCAAGGCTCGGGTTAGGGGATTATTTTCTGATCCTATCGACGCAGACTGCGGTGTCCCAAGGGGATCGTTGGTAGGGCCGCGCTTATTCCTGAGTCGAATTTCCTGCTTTTTGCCGATGACACCAATATTTGGCGGGCGATCGGTTGTCAAGACAATCACGATGTTTTGCAGAGAGACGAAGACCGTGCCTTTGAATGATTAAAAGCAAATTTACTTCCGTTTAACGCGGACAAATGCAAGATTGTGCATGTCCGCCACAAGCCCACATGCGCATATAACCTTGGAGACCACATGCTGAAAACCGCCACAAAGGAGC